TTCAGTCGCGAGACCGTATACAGATAACTCAGGGAAATAAGGATTCGGGGATAAAGAGCCATTCCCATTATTCCGTGTATACAATCTCCCTCTCGCGAGTATAATGTTTTACGATCCCTATAACATGCAACCGCGAGAGAGAGAGAGAGAGAGAGAGAGTTGGTGCATGCTAAACCACATATATAATACTCGAACAACACATATCGTAGCGTGTACGATGTGTACATGGGAGCAGTAGAAACAGCAGTGGCACAGACAGCCGAGCTGAGAGAGAGAGGGAGCGAAGGAGTGGTTTGCTGGCGCGGTGGCGGCCAATGGCGAGTGGCCCGGCTAATTCTAGGGTTGCCGCCGAGCGCGGCTGCTCGCCATCTTTGCATCATAACAAGCCGCTTGCTCGCCCCCTCCTCCCCCCGCTCTTTTTTCCCTCTTCTCCTCCTACTTTTCACCGCCTCCTCTCTTCCCTCCTTCTCCTCTTCGCGCACCTCCCGGCCGTTCCCGTATACGACTGCGCTCTACTATATAATATACATGCGTACGAATGCAATCGTACGTCCAGCCGCGTGTCCCTCTCGCTCCTCCTCCTCTTGGATATACGCCCGGTACCCGTAGGTCCTTTACATTTACATGTCTTTTCGCTCACCTGCTGTCGCATCTCGCGTGGACCGTAGATATAGACCTACATACCCTGTAGACGGTGGTTCGTTCTTTTCACCGTCCGATCACTCTAAATTACGTAGTACCAGGGGGATATCGGTTGTTAGGGTTGCTCTCAACTTGCCGATTTGCAATTTTTCTACACGAATGACACTTTCAGCCCATACAAATGATACGTACAACACCAGGTACATTATGGTTACTGTCTATATTTTCACGTTATTTTCCCCAATACTGGATATTGTATCACGCCGAGCCTGTACATTTGGACGACAAATAGAAAAATATTGACAAAGAAATTTATATTTTGCAATGTCCATATAGCCGAGCGTGAGTTCAAAACAGACAGTGTCGTCGAAACCGCACGATAAAAAAAAAAAAAAGAAAGACCCGCGTGTCAGTACTATACTACAATACACGCCCACACCTCGTGAAGCAAAGACAGGAAGCCGCAAAAGCGAGAGACGAAACTCCTTACGTGCCCGTATATAGGTACCCGCAAAATAAGCTGCAAAACGAAACTGTCTCTCACTCTATATATATGTACAAATATCTCCGCTCCGGTGCTTGACGTGCAGTAATAAATACACATACATACGTGCAAAAGACATGAGCAAAATGCAATATCATCACCACGGGTCTACATGTGTACATATATTTATATGCATGTATGCATGGGCAAATGCATGCAAGAGAGAGACAGAGGAGAAAGAAAGAAAGAAAGAAGCAAGAGACCGGCATCTCCGTCTATATGTATATACTTATAGAATCCCAAGAGAGCGAGGGCTCGGAGCTATACGCGATTTATCCACACGTACATCCACCCGGGTGATTCTGTGTGTTGGTACTTCACTTGCATACGCGCATATTCGCGCACGCGCGCGTGTGTGTGTGTGTGTGTGTGTGTGTATCACGTCGGAAAGTCGGAGGTGCCTCGAGGCGACGTGCAGCGCCTACGCGCTACCGACTCGCTACTCTCCTTGCTCTCTCTCTTTCTCCTGCTAGCTGGTGCTGTCAGGAAAGGTAATCTCCGGGACGAGTATACAGCGTCGAGCGGCGCCGCTACTGCAGCCTCACCTCGCCTCTCTCTCTCTCTTTCTCTGTCTTTCCTTCGCGTCACGCAATTTAAAATCATTTTTTATATGTGCCGACCCCCCTTCCCCGCTCCTTTTCTCTCTCGACTCTTCTTCAACTTTATTTTTCTGCCTCCCCCGTGCCGTGCATACAAAAATGTGAGATTGCAGAAAAACCATACATGTATAATATACGCGGAGGCACAGCCCGCAAGGAGTTGCTGGAAAAAAAAAAAAAACTCGCGATTCCGTTCACACACACCTTGGGAATAACATATATATCGAAAGCTAGAGAGCTCAGTATTGAGTTTTGGGGGGGGGGAAGTGCAATCTGTACCCACGCACGAAATAAATCCTCCCCGCGTGCACTGAAGCTACATACATATATATGTGAGCACAATGACGGAAAATATAATTAAAACGCAGAGATGGAGGCCGTCAAAGGAGCCGCCAATCGAGCCGATACCGATCGACGCGTGCGTGCACGTCCATACATATATATATATATGTATACCGATACGCGTACAGCACAAGCCGAGTCTCCCGGCCATCGGATCACGCGCGTCGATTATTATATATTACACGTCCGTACGCGCGTTCGGACGAGAGTAGTCGATGCAGCCGAGGCGAAAGAGAGCGATCGCGAGTTATACATTTCGCATTTTCTCCTCGTCGAGGGTATTTATTATACGTATTATACATGCAAATGCGAGCAATTAACTTTTTGATTCTCGGACGCGCCATGGGGAATTCGAGACTTTTTAGATCGGTACACGGAATAAATAATAACAACAATGATAATGACAATAAGTTGGGTCGGACAACGAGTTGAGAGCTGATCTAATCGTAATTGGAATCGCCCGCGTCCGAGCTGACCCCATCACGGTTTTATCGTCTGGCACCAAATGCTAGTCACTTCCATCGGGAACTACACTAGATCTCCTGCAATGACAGAACACATGTATTAGGCTTGTATGATTGCGCATGTTTACTGTGTACACACATTTCTATGATGAACTTGTTCTCTACGGTGAAATCTCGCATCGGAAGGTGAAAAATTGTATTTACATGCAAGAACAATCAGAGATCGAGTAGCCCTGACGCGTCTATATGTATCGACTCTCAATGAAAAATCGGTACTGGGTGCCTCTTTTTTTTACACGTGACCATTACCACACACGCGAACGAATCGTTCAAGGCGCGTGGACGATGAAGGCTATATATTATATTATCATTTCCGAAACATCGGCATTAGCGGTGATTCCGTACTTTGCTGTAACCCGACGCTCGTAAGCAAATGGCCCCTCCGATGTGGCGAAAATCACCGAAAGACCGGCGTCACTCTCGAAACGCGATAATTGCACGGTGTGGATCTCTTTTTTCGTAAACCGATCTCGCTGTACTTGTGTTTACGACACGTGAATTACCGATCATTGAAACTCGAGAGTGGTATCGATGACGTGTTTTCGACTAAAATATGCGAGCAAAAACAGATCGGCAAAAAAATGAACCCTGCGGGAAGGAAAAGAGCGGCCGGTGATCGACGACAGGGACGGGTGATAAACAATAAGGCGGACCGACAAGACCATGTATTCGTATATATACGTGCAAGGGGGGGGGAGGTGGAAGGCAGATTCCGGAGCGAGGAGACCGACTGCAGCTGGAACACAATGCGACGCGCGCGTTGAGGTCTATCGTGTCGCGTATTGTGCGCGCCTCCCCCGTATCGGAGCTGCATTGTTGCAGCATCGGAGCGGAATATCGGCCCACTGCAGCACGGAGGATACAGTGGCTGCACACCCGTGTCCCCTCCTATACCCCGAACTTTCCACTTGGGGCTTTTGCAGGAGGAGGAGGAGGAGTTGCCTGTAGGAATTCCAGGTGCTCCTCGCAGAGGAGAGACTCTTGCGCGTGTCTTCCTCCCCCCCCGTCAGCCTTTATCCACCCCTCCTTTTCTTTTGCGTATCATCGGGAAGAACTTTTGCATCGCTCCACTGCAGCTGTCGTTGGGGCTGTTTGATCTACGTGCACCAAATTGTTGGGATTTGTTCGAGGAATGTCGCGTGTACACAGTACTGTTCGTTGAACGGTAATTTTCCAATGGAAATTGTTTTGTCCTTCTTTTTTCATTTTTGTTTTCAAACTCTCCGGTTAACAATTTGTACTACATGAGAAATACAGAGATGACCGAAATTTTTCCATTGCCCAAAAAACAAGGGCCTCTTAAGATGCTTATCTTGAAAAATTCGATAAATTCATCAAGTGGCACATCGCGAGGCACATCGCTCCCCAATCAAAAATTAAAAGCGTTTTCGTTTACACCCGTTGACTGCAACTCTGGCCCAGGCATGTAAGGGTCCCCGTGTTTGGCAACTTTAACGTAACACCGGTGCACCACATCGTAGTCGGTGCAATAAAGAATTCTACCATCGAAACCTCAAATCCTTGGACATGGTAGCTCCGCGAGCGCGTTTAAAAACGACAGAGTCACGAAAGCAATCGCCAAGACTTTTTTCTCCTGCACTAGGACCCCAAAAATTCCATCACAGCTCAGTCCCCTCATCCCTATAAAATACCCTCGTGGAATAAAAGAGTCGGAGGAGGAGCAGAGCGCAAAGAGGGTCGAAAAGGAAACATCATCGGCAGGTGGTGATTGGCACGCTACGGCGGCCTACGATCGATCGGCGGAAGTCTTTGTTCCCCTAGCAGAAGAAAGAGAGAGCGTATATTATATACCCAACCGGTAGCCAACGAGCCTTGAGAGGAAGAATCGCACTCTTGTCAGCGGCTCTTCGGGGGTCCTCTACAAGGCACCCCCCGCGGGAAAGGGGCACCGGTCCATCTCTAATGATATTTTCATCCTCGGAGCCGCGACTGCCTCACCACCTACTGCGAACCACAAGACTCCCCGACGATTGGCGAACTCTCTCCTTTTTTTTTCTTCATTTTTTCCCTGTGTCTTCCTGTCCATGCGGTCTGGCGCGTGCCCCCGTACGCAAGCAGGTGTCAGATCACAATCAGTTTTGATGAAAGGATTTCTGTACACCTATACCAATGAGTGCTATCATCACCTTCCTCCTTTTGAACGAAGTTCCTACGCTTTGTGTTTTTATCACTCGCTTGGTAGGTTGTTGGAAGTTGAAACTTTTTTTTAGGAAATTCATGATATTTTAATACATTTTTTAACAACATCATATTTTTTACCGTACAATGATATAATTTTAGTTATTTATCGAGTGTGACTGATGATTTTGGAAATCGGTGTGGTTTCAGTGTCCTACCAGAAGCGTTTCAAGAAGGAGCGGCGGGTCAGAAAACAGATACAAGACCAGCTGGATCTCGAAGTCAAGCGGCGCACGCAGCTGGAGGAGGCGCTCAAGGCCACGGGAGCCACGCCAGAGCAAGTCCGAGCCATCACAGGTATACCATTTGGTTTTTCTCTCTCCAAGTCCCACATCCCCCAAAGTTTCCTTTCGTGAGTACACATCAAATTTTTGAACGATGATTAGGATCCAAAGCAACGCGCGCAGACGAAACCGCTCGCTAATTGCCATCCTCTTCCCTCCCTCCACGCAAAACTCACTTGCCTCGGTAAATACGTAATAATTTTCATACACGAGAACTCGGCACGGCTCCCACAGCTTCTTAAACTTTCTCCCCCCCCACCCCCGAAGCCGCGTCGAGCTTCGTCTCCCCCGTTCCCCTGCTGTCACTACCAAAACTCAAACACGAAACCCTTTAAGTGAAATCTCTTATTCCGATGTGTATACCTTCCGCGAAGGAGCGCTGCCGTTTTCGCAGCCCGAGCGCGCGCTGATTACCCCTGTCAGCTCCAGAGAGTCGCGATATTAATTTTAAATCAAACGCTGCTCTCCCCCCTTACCCCACTTTCTCGAGCAGGCCCGTGTACATTACTGTACGCGAGAGCTACCTCTGCCAAATGTACACCGGGTGCCTTTCCCCATCCCCCAACAAAAAAAAACGCTCTTGACTTATCTGCTCATTAACTCCTCCTTTTTTTCCCTGAAGTATCCAGCGAGACGGGATATCAGAGAGCCATGGTAGGACCTTTTTTCATCCATCTCAGCTCGTAAGCTGACCATGGCTTTTTACCGAACGCGGTTCTTCGCTTGGAATGTACTCGTAGCGCGTTTTTTGACCCATTCTGTTTAGAAATATCGTTGTCCGTGCATCTATATAACGCATGTGAGAAAAAAAATTACCTTCTTATGAGCAAATGCCCAGAATTTTCTAATTTATTGCTTCGAGCATCAAATTGAAAACTCTGGGGTTCTCCGTTACCTATCAAAAAAAGAAAGAATTTTCATTGCGAGATAAAGGAGCAACGTGTCGCGTGGGCTGTAAAGAGAAAGAGGGAGAGCCAACACGTAACGGTTGTATCGTTTTGAATTTTAAAAATATTCGACTTCGTGCAACCAGCAATTACCCCGGTCGAGTCGCGATTTGAATCTTCGGCGAGAGCAGCAGCTCGCCGAGCTTCATCCAACGACGGGACCTTAGACCGGTTCGGCCTCTCAACAAACACCGAGCTTTTTCCTTGGGAAAATTAAATACGCCGTTATTTGCAATGGGATAATCCCCCCCCTCCGCGCAATTAGATACAGCCAAGATATCGCCAAGAGAGAAGTTTCCATACATTTTTTTTGTTTTTTCTTCAAAGTCAAAGATTTTGTTGGTCAGCGTAACCAATAAACATTTCGTTTCGGTCCACAGATAGCATAACGGTGGAGTCGTCGCGTGCGAGCGTCGAGCCGGCCGATGCTTCGCCGGCGCACTCGCAGTCGGGGGTCGTCCAGCCGGGCCAGACGTCGCAGTCGTCGAGTTCCCAGTCGTCGACGCATCGCCAGCAGCAACAGCAACAGGACCAACAACAGCAGAAACAACAGTCAGCCCAAGCTCAGCAGTACAGGGACGCTCCGCAGATCGGTAGCGGGCGGTCCGCGTCCCAGCAGCAGCAGTCGGCGACGCCCGAGAAGACCTGGGGCTACAGCGATCTCATGAACAGCCAGACCTCCGCTTTTTGGCAGAATTACCAAGGTTCGTTGGTTATGGGCGTTTTTACATCGAGTTTAAACATATCACTACCTATTGAGAAGATTGAATGATCAAAACTGGTTGAATAATCAGTTGGGTCGATAAAAAGTAATGCATCTCGTTTTTAAGCTCAGTCATGTTGTCAAACTATTGATGTGGCTCACTCAAACTTCAGTATTTTCAACTCGGCTACTAATTTTATTAGCTCAATTATTAATTTCGTTGGCTCAGCTTTTAATCAACCTTATTGGCTCGATTGTTGATTTTTTTTAAGCTCAACTATCAGTACGGTGAACTCATATATATATAAATTTTATTAGCTAAACTATGAATATTGTAAGCTCAGCTGCTCAGTATCGTTAGCTAAGCTGCAAATTTCATTTTTTCATCTGTTTATTAAATTAGCTTACACATTTACGTTTACACAGTATGCGTTAGTTACCGCGTCACTTTTTTTTTTTTTTTTTTTTTTTTTTAATAAACTATGGATATCATTAGCTCAACTGTTGATTTTGTTGGCTAAATTATTAGTATCGTTAGCTAAGTTAGCTAAGATATCAATTTTAGTAGCTCATATATATTAACATTTATAATAGTCATAAGATTTTAGTCGTAATCCTATAAATTAGAAACAGTAATCTTGATGTGAGGTTCGTCGAGTTACAAGTCCACAAAAGTTTTTCGGCATAATTACGCTATTAAAATGCACATCTTTAAAGTCTTCAAGCAAACCCCATTCAATACGTGTCAACTTTACTTTGTGAACTAATACTGTTTGACATTTGAGTAATCGGTACGAAAGTTTTTCCTAGTATGTCTTTAACATTGGAATAAAAATAAGATAAACTCTACTTCAAATCCTTCTTTTAATTTACCAGAAATTATACTCTTTGTTACCTCTTAAGCGCTTAAAAACTTAATCTTTAATAGTTATAACGAAGAACCATTTGATCACAAGAAAACTCAACCAAGAGAGTAGCGTATGTGTACTGAGATGTGTACCAGTGCATCCTTACAGGGAACACACGTTTTAATCACAACTCTTTAGCCCACGAGAACGAAGAGCACAAAAAACAATCCACAGCCTCCCCCTGAAAAAAAAATAAATAAAAATAAAGAAAAAAAGTAACAGAGCACCAAACAAAAAATTAATCATCCGCATCCTCGCATTCACTTTCTTCGCGCTACACACAAAGCCGGCAAATTTACATTCCACTCCATCAAGCTGAATCGAGCTGATGCCGCCGCGCTACTGCCGTGCAATCACTTTCCGAGTAAATTTAAATTCACCTGCAAAAATAAAACCTCGGCAAGCGTCCGGGGCCACATACCCAATTCCCTTCCCCTCATCTTTCTCTTGTTCTTCTCCTCCTTATTCCCTCGCAACAAAAAAAAAGTGACACCTCATCCTCATCAAAACGAAGGCAACAAAGCTCGAATACAGAAGCTGACAACCTTTCTCTCTCTTTATATATAATACATATATATACATACGCGCGCGCACAACGCAATCAGCCCCGTCAGAATGTACATACATAAGAACAGTCTCCTTTTTTCTCTCTGCCCTTCTTATTCTCCTCCTCCGCAACACATACGCATACATATACATGTACACTCGAGGGTCTCGTCATGCGGAATCCATTTGCAATAAACAACGGAGATTTAAGGCGGAGAAGAAAGAGGGAGGGTGGATGATCGTCGTCGTCCGAGGTGGGCATTTACGGGGGGCCCCGCGAGGGAAACCTTCCTCTCCACCTTACTCGTCGTTGATGTAGTTTCGCCGCTGCCTGTCTTCGACTCGTGCACTCTGGTATAAAAGCAGCGCCAGCGGTTCTCCTTTTGTTTGCTCGCTGGCACGATTGTTTTCGGGAGGGTTGTACGATTTTCGGGTTTCACCCCCGTTGCATATTGGTCCAAGGTATTTTATGATATGCTGCAATCGTTTTTTCTTGGCAAACCTTTACACGAAAAACTGTTTCTTTTCTCCATCAATAGTCGCATCTACAAGACCTAAAATGGAGTCAACCGTACTCATGCTTTCAAGCTCGCTTATCTTTAAATGTTGCTATGCTCTTTGTCATTTTTCCAAGCCTCAAGTAACGCAAGGGAGAATAGCTGCCGTAGCAATGCAAACTCTGTGCATATTCTTACGTTTCTCCGGGCAACTATGGTAGTAACCGTATATATAGTATTATATAGTTGCAGTAGCGGTAGACGTTGACTGGCATCGTAATTTCCCTGGCGACCATCGCGTCTTTCAGTGGCGTTACCTGTCGGTCCTCTCCTCCCACTCCTCAACTCTTATACTCCAATTTTCGCAGTTCGTTTTCTTCAGTCTCTTGCATATTGTACTACGTTTTTCTCATCTTTCAAACACGAGTTTAAATTTTCTATGGATGAGTAAAAAAAAAAGGAACCCAATGTATTTTTTTAGTAGCCAGCATGTTTCATTGCTTCTCCGCATCCCGCCGAGTCCAGATGCAGTAAAAAAAAAAAAAAAAGTGTTTTCAGCAAGCGAATCGTTTTTATACATGCAATATGACAGCAGAGAACCTTCAAAGCTCACCTCGCGCCGTACATAATCGAAATGGAAATTTGATTGCAAGGTATCAATTTCTAAAGAATAATAAACTCCGATTTTGCCATAAATCTCGATAATATCGATTCATCTCTCGCGCATTTTTCGAAATACCTCTCGCCGACTTTTATTAATATATGAAAAACAGAAGACGAAGGTGGAGGAACAAAGAAAAAAAACGAAGAATCAAGGAGAAGCAAAAGATCTTCGGCCAATCAGCCCAACATGTATATAACATCATCCCCCCGTCCTCCTTCTCGCCTTTCCTCCTTCTTATACAAACCTCTCGTACGCACTCCACGCATTGTATATGTATACATACGCACACGCATCCCTTTTTCCCCGATTCATTCCTCATCTCGTTTTCTCCTACGTGCGTTATTGTGACCTCCCCTCCCCTCTACGTTACACTTTATACTCTTTATTTTCTTTTATTTTTTTAGCCTCCTGTTTCTCGTCCTCGTGCTTCTTTTGTTTCTCATTTGACTGCACGTTCGACGGCTGATGCAGGGGACGAGGGACACCGAGCAAGGAGACCGAGGCTCCTTGCGCTCGAGACACGATTTAATATTCCGACTTATATATGCAATAATTTCGCGGCAACCGAGACCGTACAACCTCTTTCCTCCGCACATACGGTTGAGCTTGTGCGTGTGTGGGGTAACGCCCGGTACGCCTCGTCGCGATATCAGTTTGTCGGGAACGATCTCGTTTTCGTAACGACCCTCTTCTTCCTCTCCCTGCGCTGCTACACTTTTATTGCGATGCAAAATCCCCGCTGCTGATTCCTCTTTCCTTTTTTTTTTTTTTTTTTACCATCATCTCGTTTGAAATTGCTCGGGAATTACACTCCACGCACGAGATTTGTTATATTAATTTTAACGTTTGCGTCGTTTTCAACGGACCAACCAACATTGTATTATTTTTCTCCACCTTCGACAATACACCGAAAGTCAAACGTGTATCGATTACTCCTCGGGGCTGTGCATACACGGGTATGCATATCGTTTCATCTGAAATGTAGGTGTACACCTCCCCGAGACTTGTAGAAATGCGCAGCTGTGCGAAAACGTGCTGATAGTTTGCTATTCCGCGCGTTACCCGCGTAGATCTAGTCTAATATATATATATATACGTGCGCGCGCACTCGTGACCTCCCTGAGATGCGCATGAATATATTGCGAGAACGGTATATTATATATATACCCTTACCAGGGAATATGGCTTCAACGCGCATATACAAGCTCAAAGCGGCGGTGCTGAAAAGATCGGTGGATTTATGCGGAACGAGGTTACGCTTTGCTCCGGGAGCTTGAAACTTGCGGTGGTAAAAAAAGGCAATTGGGTTATACAATGGCTGTGGGTGGGTTAATTCAATGGTTTGAGTTGCGTACGCTTATTCTTTCGGCATTTCTTTATTTACAAGGTGTTTATTTGCAAAGTCGTCTACGGGTGATTCCGAGCTTAGGCGTGGAGCTTTCGACTTGAAAAACTATAATGATGGACTGTCGGACGTCATCAGCCCTTACTCACTTGGTGTGGTTTCGAGCAAAATTAATATTGCAAAGACAAAGTCAGCAGTAGGGTGGAAGGTGGGATTGAAGTGTCACAATTGGTGTGTAGGAAAAAAGCAAAATAAATTTTAATTTTAAGCACGAGATCGAAATGACTGAATTTTGGTATTAAAAAAAACCACAGTTTATCGCTGTCCGTTTGATGTAGAAGCAAGGAGGTACCTGAAGCAAGTTACTTTTTGGGATTGTCTTTGTTGCTTCACAGTATAATTATTTCATTTTTTTATCTAAAATCATTTATATTTTTAATTGAACCTTATAATCCCATTTTGCATTACTATGTTTTTGTTACTACAGTACACTTTAATTTGATTGAACGATACAAGTACAACAACACGAAAATTCATTGGACTAGTCACGTATACACGATAGTCTCCACAGTAGAGGGAAAAAAAATTTTTTTTTTTTTTTCATCACCAATTGAAAAACATTATATCTCCAACATCATCATTTTTTCCTTATTATATTCTCCATCCCTTGGTCGTCCTCCATCCGTCGTTTGGATCTGCTCTCGGCTTTTTTTCCTCCTTTGATTCACACAATTTCACGCTCGGCTTGCCGTTTCTCCGGAAAAGGCGTTCGTTTTACATAAAGATCAGAGCATTAAAAACGTCGTCCCTCCTTTTTTCCTTACCTTCGCGAGCCTCCACTGCAGCTTTTGACCCATTACGCGAGAGGGGTCTTTTACTCGCGATATCATATACACACTCAAAATTGCTTCTTTCGTCGCGTCGTCCTTTACAAGGAATACACACTCGTACGTACCTCCTACAATTCGTTTCGCGAGAAAGAAGAGTGGGAGGATCCCCTTCCCACTCGCTCGAGGGCCCTGGAGAACAATCCTGGCGTGTCTTATTCCATTTTTCTCTCGTTGCTCGATTCGCCGTACCAAATTCAGTTAAGCCCTCCATAAGGTAAAAACGCTCTCTCTCTCTCACCATCGAGCCAAGCGAGTCTTTGCCATCGCTGTTCATTTACTCATTTTTTGTTCTTCCCTTTTCCTCATAAAGGACTCCTCAAATCGCTGATTTTCTAGAAAACGCGCACAGCTTTCCCATACGATTTCCCATACCTTGGCGATTTAAATGTTTTCAATCGGTGCCGAGATCGGTGCAGCATCGAAGGACCAAAAAGTGATGCCTCAGAGGCGCGGAGAAAGAAAAGAATGAGAGCCGCGCATACGAGGGCCACGTGCATCCGAGAAAGGCAGCGCATTGTGTCGGAGTTAATTACGCGCGAGAGCCTCCCCCTCGTCCGCGTATAAGCGCAAAGTCATAGTCCCCCCTATGTGTGTTTGTGCGCGCTACCAAAGAGTCGGAGAAAAGGAGGCAGTAGTAGCAGTGCAAAAAACACCCGCTCCGATCGCCCCCGCTGTGCCTGATGGTATTGTGCGATTGTACCCGAGTATCTTCTTCTTTTTCTTCCGGACAGAAGGTACACAATGCCAATCGTTTAAGGAGAGGCTAAAAAAGAGCTGCGGAGCAGCAGTGGAGCACCCAAACCGTTCCCATTGTCCAAGCTGATTTGTCAAGGTTGAGTGTTGTACACATCGCGGGGCCAAGACGAGTAGCTCTCGTTGGATTTCTCACTCGCTCTTTCACCCAAGCACAGCCAATAGGGCCTTTATTCCCCCGAGTTTCGGTCACCTTTCACGCTGCCAAACCTCGTGTTTACGGTCCACCAGTGCGATGCACGTATAAGACACGCTCGAGACAAATGCCCGACACAATGCAAACCAACGAGCTAAACTGCCCCGGCGATTATGGACCGCGAATCTCAGACGCCCGAGGTGTAATTACCCAGCCCCGCGCGGATCGGCTAAGCCCCACTGGTGGACCGTGAGAGAAGGGACTGCTCCTTTTCTGCACCTCCTGAGCATATACATACTTACACTCACACGCGCGTACAGTGCGAAGAGTCTAAGCTGAATCAGCAAAGCCAACACGAGTCAGTAGTCCTCCGTGCGTGTTACGTAAACGTACAGGCGGAGCAGTTAAATTGTCATTTGGGTGTATCAAAGGGACGAAGCAAAGCGACGCGGCAGTCGGAGTCTACGGGGTGAGAGAGAGGGGGGTGGATAAAGGCGCGAGGTAATTTGGGGCGCGGCTCGAAAGGCAAACACCGGCCGCCGAGAGGTCTTCCGTGCGTGATTCGCACCCGAGATAGCGAGAAAGCCGTGAAACACGGCCCTCAGCTATTGTTGCTCGAAAGCGTATAATGGAATCTCGGGGAGCCGCGAGCGATTCTCTATAAGCTTTGCTTGCTCTCTCTCGGCGACCCGTGCGTGCGGAGTCCATGTTTGCGCGTATACGACGGACCTTACGTCCGCGCGCTATCGTCATATCTGCAGCTCTCTCTCTCGAGGTGGGGGATTGGTGGAAATTTCAAGGGTCGCTTAGTGTCTTTGAGTTCACGGGGTGCCTGGACGAATACGTAATTCTCATTTCATCTCCTTTTTTTTTTTTTTTTTTTTAGTTTCATTAAATTCCTTGCACGCGGGGCCAAAGTGTTTAGGTGCGTTTCTTGCTCGTAGGAGATAAAAGGGTTGTTACGTTTTCTCACTTTTCGGAATTTTATGAGGCCTGTATAATATATAGGCTTCGGCTCCATCGAAGGGGCATTGTATTCATACAGAGTATTATTGTTTTATAAATTTACTTTAATACCAATGTTGCCAAATTTTAACAATTTCAGCTATGAAATCAATTTAACTTTACACTCGAGGGCAAGAAATACTCTGCAAACACAATAGATTGTACATGTCTACGTAAAATGACTCCAAAAGTAATGCACACGCAACAAACTCGAGCTAATTTTCTCACACAATCGTAAAAATTATCGTTTCGCAGGGAAACATGTACTTATTGTACCCTAAAAATTCAATTGTACCACGCATGTTTTAGTTTGCCAGCCCTCGACATCCATTCGACGTTCACAGTTGCAGAGAACTCGAATCATCCTCTCCCCTTAATATTTCATCTAGCGCATATACATACACGCGTCACTTTTGATTCTCGGCCTATAACTTTTCGACACCCTGTCCCACCATCACTTAATACACACACACACACGTCTATACACTTTGCGCTCGAGCATCAGCTTGATGGCTTCGACAATTGGATCTTACTATTGCTCTTTGCCCAAGGAGGTGGCATTTCACGCATCCCGACTCGATCTGTCCTCGCCCCAGGGCCCTTTGCCATGAACCCCAATTGCTAGCCGAGACCCGTTCGCTTCTTCCGTCTGTCCGTATATTCGTCCTCGTTTCGAAGGATTTCGCAAGCACGGACTAATGGATTCTTCGAAATTTCACCTCTTGTTGCCCGTGAAAAATCATTTCCTCCCTACCTCGGTCAACCGAGCTACGCGTCTCGGCTGACCATTCGAGCTCTCACTACTGAAAATGAAAAAAAATACTTAAACAATAAACAATAAACTGTCGAAAATCTAAATTGAAAAGCCCGAAACCCCCATCCATTCAAAACCAAAGGCTCTGTAAGCAATACACGCCCATCCGAGTGAGCAGGAGATGGTGAGAAAAAGGGGCAAACGAGCAACATACCCACATTACACGCGGACGCGCGCGATTAGCTTGGCGAACGGAACGAGTTAACCCGGTGCCATTAAAGGGACATTTTCCACCCCTTCTCGTGTTATAATCCTCCTCCGCTGAATTCAGGAGCAAAGCGCTTTTCTCCCCGGCTCCTTTTCACGCCTGCGTTATCCCTCCGCTAATTACCACCGCGTTTCATCATCCTCCCCCCCCCCCGCACAATTCGCGGCTCGATGAGCTTCCGACGACGACGACCACGTCCTTTACGTGTGCTTTTGCTCCTCTTTCTTTTCGCCAGAGCTGAGGGACGGATTACCAGCGCGAAATGCGTAAGATGCGGAAACGTTCGGTGGTGGGGCTGCGGGAAATAAGAGCGAGCAAAGGGCGAGGGGATTGTTTTTGCCCGAGCCGGTGGGATTGGTTTGGATTCGGGGTTTTGGGAGCTCGCGTGTGTAATTGATTGCGCGGAAGTCGAGTCCGTTGGGTATAAATGTTTGTGTTTGGTTGTGCGAGGAATATTTTTCGGTGATTGGGTGGACGGAACGGGGTTCCAAGGGAAACCTTATAAAGGAAAAGGTGGCGCAATAATGGTCATACTCGAGTGTCAATATAATGAGCATTTTTTTTTGTTTTCCACCACTGTTTCAGAATCTCTGATGGAGTTTAACGAGATGGAAAGGAAGTCGCGTCAGCACTCGACGGCCGAGAGGGACCAGGTCAAGTCTCCACTCCAAGGTGCGTTGATGTTTTTTAATTGCCATTCCAAGCAGCGCTTATGAGCCCCGTTGTCATCGTGTTATTCCATTATCGTTGCTCGGTGTACGCTGTTGACCGGCTTCTGTCCAAGCCAGCCGGAAAGATGAGCTCTTGTTGCGTCCCAAACGCAATTTGCAATTAATAAAGGAAAGATGAATGGAAATTAAATGACGATGGTCTTATGATTAACATCGCTTGACGTGCGATAAACGAGTTTTTTTTTTTTTCATTGTGTAAGCAATGACTTGTCTACCGGTTTTTCATTAGATACACAATTGTCTTTTTGAATTAGATACAAATTATATACTTATCAACAAATAGATTACCTAATTTTTTATGTAAAACTATTTCTGCGCGTAATTGCATTAAAAAAATTGGTGCATGCCATTGGTTTTTCAAGATTCTCGGCTTCCTAAAAAATGAATCAGTTCTAACTAGTCATTTTAATGATTACCTCAAGTATTGTTTATTGGCCAAGTTCATTCAAAATAAAGCAAGAGCAACAAAAAATTTTATGTAGCTTCTAATGAATAAAGTGATAAATAAGCCTATGGATACATTTTAAGAATTGCATGATTATTGTAATTTAGACATAGTAGTGTAGGCCAAAAAGAATAAAATTTCTAGCCCAACTTATATCGTAAGTATCTTACGCTCTTGGAATTTTCGAAAAATTTCAACCATTCGGAGCAGAATAAAGCATGAGCAAGTGGGGTAAATAAAGAAATGAAGTAGTAAACTAGAAAAAAAATCAGCTTACCTATAAAAAATCTGATTTGAACTAGCGAATATTACAAAACATTAGTACACTATAAATAAAAGCTTAATTTGATATCCAGAACGTTAAAGATTATTGTCAAAAATTGTTGTACTATACTTTCTTGAGAAATAATACCACAAAAAATCTATAAATTAAATATTGAATACTAATAAACACTTTGAATCAAGCAGCTATACCGTATGAGATTTAACTCGAGTCGCACTCTAGTATTTCTGAATACGTTGGTACAAAGATAACAGAAATAGTTTTATTTGTGAATTTTTAATCCCATCAATCATAAAAATTATACTTTGACTCTATGATACATCGATTGTATACCCATTTGTAACATCTTTCTGAAACTTTAATCGACTTCAGCGAGCGACCGCAAAAAGTGCAAGGTAGTTCCAACGTGCCAAAAACACGAAGGAAAAGGAATCCACTCCCCGCCATACTGTACTCCTCCCGAGACTCTCGGGGTGAAAAAAAAAATCCAGTCGTGCAGAGAGTCTCACCGGCCGAAATCCAAAGTTCGATCTTTAATTAGAAACTCGCGCCCTCGAGCTTGCAACTTGCCGGCTCACCCTCCCCCCGTTTTCCCGTATCGCGTCTTTTCTTGTGCCCCGGCCACCCAAGTTCCCTCCGAAGGTTAAACGTGCACTCACACCCGGCCCAAGGCAAAGTTTTCCCCGGCGCGCAAAAAGTGCTCGCGATCATTCGCCAAGTGGCCCGAGCAAACTTCCACCAGAGGGCTCGGCTTTTCTTTAGATTTCCCTCGGAGTTCGGTGTGTATAGGCTTGTGGGACGCATTACGGGCGCGAGTTTTTTTTCTCTCCTTCCTCGCAGCTAGTGATTTTCGCGAAAATTTCAATTAAATGGAGATCGTCGGTAGCCGGAGCTCTTGCGCAAGAAATCCTCCACTATAGGGTAACGGGGAAGTTGGAGCCCGGAAAGCTTACGCGTCGGCTTTTTTTCTCCGGGTTAACACACCCTTCCCTTCTTAAGTATCGCTCATTTTTTCATGGATTTTCGTTTCCTTCCGCGATTGTCATTTTGCTCGAATGGAAAGATACGTGGCAAATTTGACGAACAAAAAATTCGGGTTGCTACAGTCGAGGAGGGGCAATCATGAGGTCCTCCTGACATCCACGCGAGACGACGACCCATTGAGTCGCGAGCAAAGGGGCCTTTTCCTGCCTCTGAGGCGGCCAGTTATAATAATACGGTGATGGCGACTGACGGTGCCCGGCGCCCAGACTGATTAGAAAGGCTTCCCGTGCAATAATTGGCTCGGGGAGCTCGCGCTCGACGAAAAGTGCTGGCCCATCTTCATCGATTAACTGTGATTTTCGAGTCACGGAACGATCAGGTCCCTCGGCGCTCTCTCTATTATTGGCTGTTTTTCCAATCGTTATGGAGAAACAGTTTGGGGTTTGAAACAAACAAAAAAGTTGGATGACTAGTCGTTGTCCTTCAGTGTAACGAGAACGGTATTTCGTAATTGTTAAGGCCACATTACATCACGAACTTGATGTGGGCTCATGCCTGACCATCCCCAGAAAGGGATGTTACTTAAAACTCAAGGGGTGGTTCCTTTCAGGTAATTTTTGACCCATATTGGTATCATTGTTTACAAAGCAATGGAGCGCTTATATTGGGCTCTAATGCCATACATACATAGTTTTCACATAAGTGCATCTGAGTAAGCTAAATTCTATTCCAATCCAAATCACAGTACTCATTACTAATAAATTTCAGAATTTTGTTAAAACCCATCAACGCATTTCATTCATTCATTCTTATTACTATAAACTATAATAAATTAAATCACATCAATGAAACGGTATACTCAGTGACAACAAAATCTATCTACATATCAATTGCCAAACGTCGTCAAACTTTGCAAACAAGCAAAACACAAAAAAATACTAATCAAATACAATTTTTTTACCTATGGTCCACATAGTTTTTCGAGGTTAGATAGTAGCTCTAGACTTTTATTTTTGCATTACGTATATTTTCATCCAATTATTAAATTGTGGATAAACTAAAAACTTATTTTTAATGATCTCAAAGTCCGTATGCGCAAATTTTTTTATTTAATGAATCACTAATAGTTTGAAATTTATAAAAAAACTCTTAAAATCGGGTTTCACTTCAACCTTAAATACTTGGTGCAAAGAAAAACATAGAAACTTGCGGTAAAACGAGTGATGGGAATGTAAAACCGTCCTTTTATTTAATTTTCATCTTTTTTTTTCACATTAAGTTGAAACTTGATGTAATAATAGAGTAAAAAAAACGTTTGAGGGCTTATTTCCAAACCTTTTTCTAAAATGAAACAACACGTGTTCTACGCGTATTCGAAGTTTGATAACACTTGGTGATTGACGCTTGGGTTAATTAACTTGTTAGACACGCGAAATATCACGTACACAACAAAAGATTGTTCTAAAAATATAACATGATGTTTTCGTAGGTGAGTCTTTAGAATCCATCACTCAAAGTCTTATCGCAAAACAATTCTCGAAAATTTTGCACTGCCCTGGTTAGTTGACTGAGAAAACTTATGAATCCCCGCTTCGTGACTGATACCTATTATCTCGAAATACAATGGCTTTACTCCTCAAACTCAACCCAATAAAAAATAGAGCAAATAAATATAAATTTTATAGATCCTTAAATGTACAACGATGGAAAGAATTGCTTGTGACTAATAAATCTTTTCATTGACAATTATTAAATGTTTGTCAACAATTAAATCTTTGATAGTTAACCACAAGGTATATTTTATTACGTCGCTGTTTTTTTTCTTTCAACCTCCAAACAAATACTTGATTTACTAGTTTTGACTGATAAAGTACTTGCTTCTGTTTTCATTCACATTATAGTTATTGACACCACTAATGTTTTCTCGCGAAATAGTTACTCATGGGTCCACAACTGTTCCAGAGTCACGAACGGGCTACTACAAGAACTCGGTCCTCTTCACGAGCGCGACCTAGGAGAGCTCGACCAACGCGCGATGAACTAACCGGCAGTCGCCGACACTGCAGCGCTGCTCCGATTCTCAACTGCCATCGTAGGACCCAAAGGAAGCGGAATAATGCGATGCAGCGGAAAATGGGTGGAAAAAAATACTTGCGTCTCGGTGAAAACTCGTCGGTGCTGAGAGTACGACATATACATACGTGGGGTCGAAGACGCTCGCTAAGGGCTTTCCAAAGAGGAAAGGCACAAGGTATTCGGTAATGATGGATGGAGTCTGTATTAGCTGTGAAGTGACGCGCGAATCAGGTACACATATACATATTATACATAAGTGAAAATATTATAAATACGTATAAATATATACATATTAAACGAATGAAGTACATGACGAGTACACGAGAGAGAAAAAGAATCGAAACGAGAAGGTATACATTATTATTAGCGTAGCACAAGTGTTTGCGTGCATGTGTGTGACTTGATGACTGAGTTCTTTGATTAAACGTTGATAAGTACGTGCGCGATGACGTAGAGAGAAAATGCTGGAGGAGAGTAGATCGGTACAAAAGAGATATTTACAAAAGACTGCTTTCGATTGAGAGTGCGAGTGCGATTTCCTAGTGATAGTCTTGTAAGACGTGAGTAGAGTTAATCCAAAAATTGACGAAAATAACAAGAAAAACATAAAAATCGAGACGAGTATATGGACAGAATCGACTGTAATGAGCGAGCGGATCGAGCGACAAAGACGACGAGGGAGAAACAAGAATTACAATAGTTAGTCCATTATAGTTTTTAAGGTATAAATACACACATACATTATAAATTAATATTAAACGCAAGTAAAAGTCGCTCGTTCGTACTTTGTCGTGGTCATGAATAATAACTATAACAATAATTTTAGAAAAATTATTGATTATCACATCGCACCCATTGCTATCATCGTTCGTCATTAATTATAATTCATCAGCAGCATCAATTCATTAATTAACTGTAATTATTATATGTGTGACGCGATAACGTCGTTGAAACAGCAAAGGCCGATCAAACGAAAAAAAAAAATGAGCGAGCGAATTGTGGATCCGATAATTTTGAAGATAAACGAGAAAAAAAAAAAAACATCTTAAAAGACTAAAGATGACGACAGCGCGTCTTTATCTCGAATAGTCGAATTTTCACGATTATTATTATGATTGTATATCCGAGAAGGAGAAATAATCAAATATTAAAAAATAAATAAATAAAAAATCAATTTTCTCTATACATTCATAGCGATTCTCGTTCAGGATGGCCCAGTTGACAAGAAAACTTTTGTATAGACTAGCGTGTGATTTTTTTAAGCCGCGAACTATCGGTTTATATATACAAAGCACATATGAAACACAATAGAAAAGGAAGGACGAAAAAGAGTCCAAGTAATCAAAGTGAGTCTTTCCGAAAGATCAAACTACCGTATCACCGTGTAAGAGATCGGGAGTTTGAACGGTCGTGTATGATATATATACTATGAAGTAGTTAACAAGAAAAAAAAATAAAAATGAAAAAAAAAAAGAAGAAAATGAAGACGATAGACGTGACGCATGAAATGGATAGAAAGAAAGAGTAAGCGTATTAGGGAGAAAAAACGTAATAGAAGGGGGATGATTGTAGCGGTTGGAAATACCTGGGTGCGTATTCAAGCTAATGTTTTATTTATATATGAGTAATTAAACAAACACAAAAACACACACGAAACCACTTATTATACACACGACGCAAAACTCGTACGCCCATTGATGGTAACTTTTTTTTCTCGGTCATCTCTCGATTGGTTGATCGGGCGAGCGTGACTTTCAAAAATTTTTTCTACGATCCAAGTGCCACCAGAGTGAATCGTCTGTAGCGAAGAGGAAAGATTTTTTTATTCACTATATTTATAATGTACCCACGATTCAAAGAGAATATTTAATCCTCTTAAAAAAATTTTTTTTCGTACTGCTCTGTACATAATGTAGTTCATCATTTACTACTTCGAGTTTGATATATCAAATGTATGATTTCAAGTACTTTTATTCCTAAAAATTTTTTAAATGTTTCCAAAAAACCCACGAAAATCAATCGCCCCGTCAAAGTGGAGCTACACTTCGTAGAGAGAAAAAAAAGTGTCGATCGATGCAAAATCGCGTCGTCAAAGTTTAATCTCTAAGCTCCGTGTACAAAGTCTCTTTAGTCGTAAGTTCAAACAAATGGAAAAAGAAAAAAAAACAATTTTAAGGCATACTTGTGTTGTAAAGTTCACGTAATCATAGCGTATGTCCATAGGTATCGGCTAAGCCCGGCTAGAGGAAGCAACAGTTATTACGTAGAGAAAGAAAATGAAAAAAAAAAATAAAAAAACAATCGAGAATTTAATCACCGATAGCTGGCCCAACTATTGCCATTGCCATTCCATAACACACGAATACAATACACGTACGTATAATCGAGCGAAACGATGAGAGATATAAAAAAAAACACAATGTATTTATATATGCGTCCACACGTCCGATTTACCTTCTCTTTGCAGACACGAAAAAAAAAAAAAAAATCTATATCCAGAAAAAAAAAGAAAAAATGCTTGCAAGACGCTCGGGTAGTCTCATCTGTTGCCGGCAATCGGGTCCCACTGCGATGTATGAGAGAGCTGTCGTTCTGTATTACAAAGTGATGAAGTTATATCACACGTATTTTTTGTTTTTCGAGCACACACTTGTCCGTCTATTATACGTGTATTATAATGTAGCGTTGAGTTGCAGTTTACTTATGCGATACACTACACGATGGCACAAAAAATATCACGATTGAACCAAGAGTGTATGTTGAGGTAGTTCATGCCACTCAGTGCTTCTCAACTTACTTGCGAAACAGTCAATCATTGATTTTTCAAATAATTTTTGTTGTTTGTCGTCAATTGATATCTCAGTAACGTAATAAACTCTTACGTCACAAAACTGACAAAAAAAATCGATAATTATGACTATTGGTGCAAAAGGTTGAGAACAACTGTACCGCTATTCAGATATACTAAAATCAGACAAAACCATTTAAAAATTGAGATAAATCTTTAATACGGCACGTGACATGTTGTTAATCTTCAATACGTAGACCATCGATATCTTTCTCGTATTATTATCGTTTTTTGAAACGATCGTAAGAAAATTTTTATAATCATCAAGAAAACAGGGGCTTTTAAACTATTTGCTCATAAGGTGTAGTGTTAAAACATGTAAATTAAAAGTTGAATATCTTGAAAACAGGTTGGCATCATAAAATTCAACCACGAATGTACGGGGTGTCAATAACTTGTACTCCAATTTTCATCGTCTTTGTAAGAAAGTTAATTTTGGCATGAACTACCTTCACTCGCTTGTCTACTTGGTGTTCACATGTGCGGCACAGTAAGCAAACAAAAAGTATTATTCGTTTCTATTGCAAATACCGTATGAAAAAAAAACAGAAGACGATTGTCGGCGAACAGATACGGAAGGTTTCTTTTTTTTCTTTTTTGCAATTTCAAAAGCGAAACTAGCGTCGAGAGGTCATCAATTTTACTCGTGTAATTCAACATATTACTACCTATTAATAAATAATAGTTGTTATTGTAAAATGTGATTTTTTGATTATTTATTACGCAAGACCTTCCTCCACGTCCTGTTTCCTGTTGTTTCCCTCAGTTTTTACCAACAACATTAAAATCATTGGTGTATTATAATTTTTACTCTCATCAAAGAAACAAGTCATGTTTTTTCATTGAATAAATATTATAATTTACGTATTCATTCAATACACAATCTTTTATAGAATATTGGCTATCGTATTCAACGTTGTTAAAAAATAATAAAGTGAACTGCTGGTGGATGTTTCCTATTTATTTAATTACAAACTTTTTCATTCCAATTAACGATCGTATCAAAACTTCTCATAATGTATCAGTAAGTATATTACGATTTAATTAAGTGTACTGTATATACACGCTCGTATAATATTTATTTTCACACGTTAATCTAGGATACACAAATCTTACGTCATGTGACATTATGACTAAATTTGAAAAATCCATACCACAATAAGAAAAAATTTTTAGGTATTGCCTATTAAGGCACTATTTAGTTGAATTTCGGAATTGAGGTAAGTAATGAGCTGCTCACTGTACGTAAAAAATTACTATTTTGCTTTAAACAATGAAAATTTAACCAAACAATTGTTTTTCATAACAAAAGGTTGAATGAGGAGTAATAATTATGTTCTAAATTTTTTTTGTACTTGTGATGATTTGGATTTAAATATTAGAAATTAAATTTAAATAATGAAGAACTTTAAAACTAAAACATAGATACATTTAAGATAAAGCCAAACAAAACGAAAAACAAGATAAATTTACACATAAAAGATCAAAAATACAGCAAAAAAGAAAACTTCCTTTTTAAGTATAAAAGCTATGTAAAAAAAAATGAGGAAGAAACTAAATCAAGTGAATATAAAATAGAGACACAAAAGAGAAAATAAAATAGTTCAAGGATATAAATACATTGACATTAAAAAAGTTGTAAATACAAAAATAAAGAGGTATGAAGTCAAAGATAGAAATATATAGGGTACTAAAACTCTGTAATTTAAACATTTGAAGATAAGGACAATATATAATTATGTAATAAATTCATACATTGTATAAAAGACAAAAAAAATAAAGTACAAATCAGTGACGCAAAGGCACATAAAATAAAAACAGAACCAGAGAATCAAACAAATAAAACGTATTTTTAAATAAGAATAGAAGAATTCAAGTAAGAATAAAGTAAGATGTACCCGGAGATTAGATATATGTTTATTTAAATTTGTTCAATTTACTTACTATGAAACTCTTACGTTTGAATTCATATTGATTCGCAAAAAATATAAAAATACATAATAAACTAAGAAACGAATAAGCTCAGATGTGAGTAAAAAAAAAATTATATCAGGAGTGCATCAATTAAAAAAAGTGACACACCGCGGTCTACATCGGTTGTTTTTCTAAACTTTTGCTACGTTGAATAACCAAAGACAACGTTACATTGCAAATTTTAATGTGTAATTTTAATACTTTTTTACACGCTTTTAACTATTTTCAAGACTCTTACGTAGTTTAGTTTCATTATAATTAGACACTCGGACATATGAGAAGACAAAAATTACAAGATGAGAAACGTTAAAACGCTTCATCGAGTGTTAGAAGTCATGCACGGATCTCAAAGACATGATGAATACTTGGCTAAGGGTAACATTAATCGTTAGTATTCATAAATACACTGGTAAACACATTTTTAATTTCAAGAGATATACTTTAGAGATACTTCTATCTCACGTTTCATACTTTTGTTACTTGTAATAATTTATGATAGAATATTAATAAATTTTTTGGAAAAGCTTATAAAATTTGATTAAAGCTTACAATGAAATTAATATATATTGATCCATATGCTCTCAACTAAAAACAGAACTTTTTAATGCTTATTAAAATTCATAAACAAATTTTATACAAATTTCTCACAAGAGGTCCTTGGTCACGTGCAAACTGATTAGTGGCTAAATGTTACCACTGCGAGTAAACCCCAAAGGGAGCAAATTATTCAGCTTCAAGCTCAAAACGTGTAAGCGTAACGTAACAGTTGGAAACACAATGATGAATGAACGACGAGGTAGACGATGTCACCAAAAATGAAGAAAAGATACGGTAGGTGGCTGGAAAAAAGTTCCGAGCGCGTATAATAATTTCACGCGGGTACGTACATCACCACAGAGTATTCCACTTGCGAAATCGTTCAGCGCGGCGAATCCACTGGTGTATGTGTATAGTATACCACCCTTGCAGCTGCTATTGCGCCTTTGCCGTGAATATATGTAAGTACGTAACGTGTGCAAAAAAAAAAAAAAAAAAATGTAAAACACGATTCAACGCGACTCGAGCAGTCAACTCCCTCCCTCCGCTCTTGCACCGCGCCCTGTCAGCATATTTGTATGTAAGGAAAAAAATGCGCGTTCCCATGCAAATGAGGGTCTTGACTCTCCATCCCTCTTCCCCCCGCCCCCTCGCTTTTTTTCCTCTCCACCTTTCCATCCCACTTCCCCCGTGTATATCCAAAGAGTCGTGCCGGAGTAATACTCCTATTTCACGATGACAAAGACGACGACTCTGTGCAGCCCAACGCTGTCTTCGTTCGAGGGAGTATAGCTAGTGGTGTCGGAACCGACGCAGATTTAAACTCCTGCGACTGTTTCTGCACATTAATGGCTTCGAGAAAGACTCTTCCTGCGATTCCTCGATTTTTAACTCTTGATTCTCAAACAAAAAACCTTCCACCTTTTTTAGTACAATTGCTTTTAAAATTTTTTATTTGAAAAATTTGTACAGTTTTTTTATAACTGGATTTTTTACTCGTTGGTGCACGAACAATAACAATATCGTTCGGTTACTTGAAGCGCCAAGTGCGTCAATCATACCGGCTCCGATAAACTTTTATGGGGCTATAAAATTAATTAAACGATCGAGTCGCGGGAAACGTGAACGTTTCGAGGGTTCCGAAAACTTTTTATCAGTAATTTTTTTCGTTCGTGACTGCCTCCCCGCCGCCCTTGGAATCATAAAAGTGAGCGAATCGCTCGCCCTCCCGGTACATTCGAAGGACACATTGCCCGACAATCATCATTTCCGCATTTGCATGATTATCGAATAAAAAGCCCGCTGCCAGCGGGAAAGCAGAGAGAGGAGCCCTCGAGTGACTTTATACATTTTTTTTTCACGCTAAGAGGCTCCCATCCCCCCGAGCGAGCTAATCGATTTTTCAAAGTTTTTATTGCCCTTGTTTCATTATACCGCATTTGGATTTTCTTCCGATCGAGAAGTACAAGCTGCTACACGACTAACGTTGGCCAATCTATCTCTCCCACATCCAACTGTTGGCCGGAAAAGATTTTATTATAAAATATAGCTTCATAGATTTTTAACCCAAGCTTGCTGTTAAAATTCTTATCAACACTTATACTGTAATGTACTTTATCAAACGAACATATGCTTTAAACGTTTACTTGAATCGTACAGTGATAGGGGGAAAAAAAACCGATTTCCTCCAAACGACGAAGGAAAGAAAAAAGTCGCGTCAACAATAATTGTCACACCGCTGTAAAGAAAATCCCAGCGCTAATCGCCACTCGGAAAGTGTAGGGGGAAGGGGGGGGAGAGAAAAAAGTCGGGAAAATTTATTCACGGAGCAGCTTGTTCCCAGCCGACGACTTAATCGTCACCCCGTGCTAATGAGGCTCGCGCGTACACCACTGCAGCCCGGCAATTTTCGTCCGCGCGCGATCGCCCGGTGCTATTCCTTTTAATTATACGCAAGACGAGGAAGCCCAGCCTCCCGGGAAAACGCGGAAAAGCAACGATGAAGAAAAAAAAAAGAAGGGTATGTACAGCGACAAATAAAAATAAATTAAGACCGAAGGCGGCAGGGGGTGGGTATATTTGTTCGGCGAGACGCGTCACTCGCTCGCTCCCTCGAGAGCCCGTCGACGTATTTTTCCCGCTAGCGCGGCTGCACTTCTTTTTTCCTTTATTCCGCGCCTTCGAGACGTCAACCGCGGCTAATGAGGGAGAGCAAAGGCGCGCGCGAGGAAAGAAAGACAGAGGACGAAAATGCACGGAGGGAATACGGGGTCCCGCGCCCCGGCTTGTCGCTCGGCGACGTCTTGTTTCGGTAATTGCGTTGAGCAGTTGGAGGTGAGCGACGTTTATTAAGTAATAAAAATTTACCTCCGCGAGAGCGATCGAGTCAACTCCTTATGGATGCGAACCGAGGAGTTTGTCGCGTCTTGAGGGTGGCTTTTTTTCCGCTCGTGCGGGAATGTGTGGGTGGAACTCTTTGGCGAATTGGATGACGAGTATTCCACTTTGGTCGAGAAAAATTTTCTTGTCTTTAAAATGTCGTGGAATGAAAAATCATCAAATTGCCTCGTGTTTTGACTTCTTTGTTCACGGCGTGGTTTACTTACTTGAGTATATTAACTGCTCTAGTTGTGGGTTGTGGTCTGTTCAAGGTGGTTCCACAGAGGTTGTGTTCAACAGCTTGGATGTATACAAAACACTTTATTCAAAATTCGTAATCAATTTAAAGAAATGTTCAAACATGTTTTACTAAAAAAACATCACAATAACTCTATAATCCAATAAATTAATATTCAAAGAAATATGCTAAATTTTTAAATTAAAATGATTTTTTTTAGTGTACAAAACAGACAATACAATACAATACAATACAATTGAATTATCTTTATCAGATTCTTTGGATTTCTTTACTTATTGTCTTTTTAAGTGAATGACTGATAAATCAATTAATCTAATCTCCCAAAAATAATATAAAAATAGTAAATTTAAATACGAAAGTAACAAAAATAAAAAATGACACATGATATAAACTGGGCAGCAATAAATTAAAAAAGATACACCGGCAGATATTGTGTGATTGTATGTAAAAAAACTTATTGTGTATATTTTATTACATGGCTGTA